TAGCCCAGATATTATATTGCCTTGAGATTTCATATTCCAAACAACTTTGTCCAATTCTATTTTATTTTTTTAATTTTATGTGTATAGATGTTTTGCCTGTATATGTGTCTGTGGACCATGGGTGTGTGTGCAATTCCAGTTGAGGCCAGAGATAACATCAGATCCCCTGGGACTGGAGTTAGAGATGTTCATGAGCTATCATGTGGGTGCTAGGATTTGAACCTGGGTCCTGTGAAACAGCAGCCAGTGCTCTTAATCTCTGAGTCATCTCTCCTGCCTCATATCGCATAAACGGCCTCTAACCTGGTCTCTGATGAAGCACGTGTCCCCTCTGAAACCTCAGGAACACAGTCCTTACTTTCTGCATTCCTAACTGCATTCTGTTTCTGGAACCCACTAGGAAGGCCCACTAAGATTTGCAAGTTCAAACCCTTCAACGCTATCCCTTCCATGACCAGAAGGTTTCCCAGAACTGTCACCACACTCCTGGTACAGATTTTATGTTGCAATTACATTTCTTATGTTTGTAACTGAATTACCTGGTAAGGACCAGCTCCAGGGAATTAGGGGCTTATTCTGGCTCGTGATTTGAAGATCATGGTGGGGAAGACACAGTGGCAGGAGCACAAGACGGTTAGCTGGTCACATTGTGTCCATAGTCAAGAAGCAATTGTAAGTGAATGCCCAAGGTCTCCAGACTGTCTTCTTTCCCACTGTCATTCAGTTTGCAGCGTAGGGTCTACTCGGGTATTGTGCCAAAGCTGCCAAAACAGGCATGACAGCTGATGTGATCACTCAAGTATCCACTAACTGACTAACAAGATAGGGAGTGCAGTGTGAATATTCCACACAAAACAATGATTTACTACACTTTTGACATGTAGACAAACAGCAAGCGTGTAATTTAAAACTTAAGGCTTAAAGCAAACTTTTGGAATTTTCTATTCATTACTTTCAGACCCAGTTCACGGTGGCCTGTAGTAAAACATGCAATTGCTTTAGCATCTTGGCAAAAACAAAAACAGAAACAAAAAATCCCACTGAATTGCCTTCACTTTTATTTTGTCAAGAAATCAAGTATCCATGCATCTGTGGGTTCATTTGTTTGTCAAATTGCCATTTATTGATTATGTTAGCTTTATAATAAGTCCTGATGTCAAGTAGTATTGGTCTTGTTCTTTTTAGGAGAATTTATTTGAGTTTCTATGTCTTTTTATCACCTTGTGAATTTTTGACTCAGTCTGTCTGTTTCTTCTTACAAACATCCCAGGGCTGGGTATAAAGTTTGGTTAGTAGTGTGCTTGCCTAATTCACACCCACACAATCCTAGGTTTGACTCATACCACTGTAATCCCAGCATTTAGGAGATAGAGACAAGAGAATCAGAAATTTAATGCACCATCAGTTAAATACAGAGCCAAGCGTAGTCTGTCATGCAGAGACCCTGTTGAAATGTATACATACTTCCAAACCTACCTGGGGATAGTGAAGAACCCAACATTTTCAATTATGTTTTACCCTTACCACAAATCTAAGATTTAGTCATTATTCTTATCTTTTTGTTGTTGTTGTTAAGATGAAGAAATCAAGTCTCATACAGGCTATGGAATCTCATTAATGACAATAAAATTTGAATCAAAGTCAGCTGTAATTTGTGCTGCCAACCACCACAATGTAGTACTTGAAAGATTTAGCTGGGTCATACAGTATTCCTCTAATACAGCCCTCTACCTGCCTTTTCCCCTTACACCAGGCAACTAGAGTCCACAGATAGTACCAGGGCCTTTTCAACTTCTGTCTTGCCTCCCCGTGGTCCTTCTTACATGGATTTCCTTTTTCTATTTCTTCCTGAAAAGCCTCTACTCCTTCCATGTAGACTGATCTCCAGTGTCGCCTCATCCACAATGCCATCTCTAATGACCTGAGTGGCATATGTAGGTTCTCTATTCTCTGTCCAGAGTTATCATCATAGGTCTGACGTGAGAAATGTTCCATGAGATTAATAGAAGATTAATTCGGGGATTTCATGATATAGAAACAGATGCATAAAATGAAACCCAAAGAATAGAAAAGTCGGGGAGAAAAATAATCCGTGGAACAACTTCAGCTGACTCAGATATGTGTCATTGGGGATACATATTGAGGACATAACGGATGAAGTTTTTCTAAGTTTGATAAAATTGTAACCCCAGAACCAAGAATGTTAACAAACTCCCAAGAAAAAGAAATACTAGGAAAAGTACAACAAGGCGTGTCTTAACCAAATGGTTTAAACTTGTTTATTGTTTTTTGTGTATGGGTGCCAAAGGTTTGTCCAGTAGAAACATGGTCTCTGGTGCAGTATATTGAGAGCTGGGAGGTCTTTAAGAGACAATCAGATCACGGAGCAGTACTCTGGGAAGGAATTAACATCGCTTTCACAGGTTAGTTCCTGCAAAGAGCAAGGGAATGTAAAAGAGTGATTAATCCTGACCCCTCCCTACTCTTTTGACTTGTTTGCTCATATACCCCTACTAAACGCAACCAATTTTCTGTCTGTTTCTGGGCCATGTTGTAATGCCCCTCACTAGAAGCTAGCATGACATTTTTTTTTTTTGCTTATTTGTAGCCAAATAAGTTTCTTCCTTCCTTTCTTCCTTCCTTCCTTCCTTCCTCCCTCCCTCCCTCCCTTCCTTCCTTTCTTTCAAGACTTATTTATTTATTATGTATACTTATTTATTTATTCTGTCTGCATGAATCCCTGAAGGTCAGAAGAGGGCACCATATCTCATTACAGATGGTTGTGAGCTACCATGTGGTTGCTGGGAATTAAACTCAGGACCTCTGGAAGAGCAGCCAGTACTCTTAACCTATGAGCCATCTCTCCAGCCCAAGTATCTTTCTCAAAGCAACTAGCATCAGGCATTTTTTGGAGGATTACAAAACAAGCAGAGATTCTATGCCAGAATCAGCATTTTTTTTTCCTCTTTCCTAAGAAGCTAGAAAAGAAAAGATGCATAAAGAACAGCACAACACAGTCAGGCAGGGTGGCGCACGCCTTTTTTTCCAGCACTCTGGAGGCAGAGGCAGGCTGATCTCTGTGAGTTCGAGGCCAGCCTGGTCTACAGAGAGAGTTCCAGGATAGCCAGGGCTATACTGAGAAACCTCGTCTCAAAAAACCAAAACCAAAACCAAAACAAAACAAAAAAACCCCAAACCAAAACAAACAAAGACAGAAAATAAAAGTGGGAAAGACAATAAAAAGTAAACCAAGCAAGGAGAAATAGCCAGACAATAGATTTAAATATAGCACAGAAATAATCACACTAAATGGAAATTATCTAAATTCGTAAGTCCAAAGCAAATACAATAGACTTTTTAAAAAAGCTTAACTTTATTATTATTATTATTATTATTATTATTATTGTGTGTGTATGGATGATTTATCTGTGTGTATGTCTGTGTATCATACACATACAATGAGAGGTCAGAAAAGCATAATCGCGTCAAAGGAACTAGAGTTGTAGATGGTTGTGAGCTGCCATGTGGGTGCTGGGAACTGAAGTTGGGTCTTCTGGAAGAACAACCAGCGTTCTTACCTGCGGAGTCATCTCTCCATCCTTGCAGTAAAATTCTTTAAAAGTAATTTAAAATAATAATAATAGCTATTATTATAATAATTACACTACTACTAATTTTTATTAATTATTGGGAGGCATGTGTGCCATGGCATGTATGTGGAGGTCAGAGGACAATGTTTGGGAGTTGGTTCTAGCCATACACTTTGCTGAGGCTGTCTCTCTTGTTTCTGCCATAGTACAAATACTCCAGGCTGGTTAGCCCACAATCTTCCAGGAGACTCCCATGCCCCTGCCTCCTATGTCTCTGTAGGATCTGAGCTTACAGATATATGCCAGTGTGTAAGTGAATCAATGTAGTGTGGAAACAAATATTTTTATTAACAGGAGAAAGCACTTACACACAAGCTTGGGAGATCAGAAGCATGGCAGGCTTCCAAGAGAGCGAGCTTTTACTTTTGCTTCCTTTTATCCTCACCTGTGCCCATCCCCTGTCCATGCCCCTTTGGGCGTGCATAATATTGTGGGCTCACCCCTACACCAGTGTGTCTACTTTTTATGTGAATTCTGGGGATTGAGCTCAGGTTGTCGGTTTGCACAAGTATTTTTACTAGCTGAGCCCTCTTGGTGGCTTAATGTGTAGTGCAGTTTTAACAACTGGGAAGTCTGTTTAAAAAAATATATGGTGCTATGGTGACTATTGTGTTAATTTTCACATAAGTAAATACATACTTAATTTAGAAAATGACCATTGTATCTCTTTTAAATGCAATACATACTGTGTAAAATTTCTTACGTTCTCCTTTCTTCTCCTTCCTTTAAAGATTTATTTATTATGTATACAGTGTTCTGCCTACATGCATGAATGCATACCAGATCTCATTATATATGATTATGAGCCACCATGTGGTTGCTGGGAACCAAACTCAGGACCCTTGGGAGAGCAGCCAGTGCTCTTAACCTCTAAACCATCTCTGCCCCCTACCTTCTCTTTTCTTAAAATCTCATAAGCCTGAACTCCAGCAGAGGCAAGAGACCCGAACTACCATCCATTCCCACCATATACTTGACCTGTCTGAGCCTGTTTTCTGTTGGGGGAGAAAAGTGAGGGGTCTATGTGCATGCATGAGAGCATGTTCATTTATGTGCACCTTACTGTATGTAGAGTGTGTTTGTAAAGGCCAGAGGTCAACTTCAGGTGCTGTTTCTTAGGTACTCTCTACTGTTTTGTTGTTTGTTTGTTTGTTTGTTTGAGACTGGGTTTATCACTGGCATGTATGTTGTCAAATCATCTAAGATGGCTAGTCAACAAGTGAGATTCTCTTGTCTTCACCTCCTCAGTGCTGGAATTATAGGTTTGCCTCTGGGTACCACTTTACATCCTCATACTCGCATGATGTCCGACATTTTCTGTTGCTGTGATAAGACACTGACCAAAACCAATTTGAAGGAAGAAAGGATTTATTTGGCTTACGCTTCCATGTCACAGTCTGTCATTGAAGGATGTCAAGGCAGGAACTCAAACGGGAACCTGGAGGCAGGAACTGAAGTCAAGAGCGTGGAGAAATGGCGGCTTACCGGCCTGCTTAGCTTACTCCCTTATGCAACCCAGGGCCATCTGTGCCCAGGGGTGGCACCACCCACAGTGTCACCAGTGTCAGCCTAGCTTCTTCATCTCCAAAATGATTTTTGTCTTCATCCTATGGCAAAATGAAGCAGCCATGGTTTTTAGTACAGTTTTTAAGAGCAAATTTCACAGAAAAATTAGAGTCATGGATTTCAACCCATCTCCTTTCCCTGTTTGTATATAACTTCCTTAGCAACATCCCCATGAGTGATGTGTTGTTAAATATCATGTGACCCTTTAATATAGTTTCTTAGGTTGTGGTGACCCCAACCATAAAATTATTTTCGTTGTTACTTCATAGCTGTACTTTTGCTACTGTTATGAGTCATAATGTAAATATCTGTGTTTCCTGATGGTCTTAGGTGATTCCCCTGACAGAGAGTTGAGATCCACAGGTTGAGAACTGCTGCTCTGGTAACTAGGCCTGTGGTGTTGCAGCTCCATGGTTGGGAAGGAAGTGACTCAAAGGCCTCAGGACAAAACAGTTAATAAATTTTTCCATGATTAAAAGGCTATTTGGCATCTGGAGCCATATGTAGAAGCCTGAAGTGGAGGCAAGCTTGGCTCTCCATCCCTAGTGGGTGGAGCTTCTTTGACATCTGGTATTTGAGGACCAGAACCAGAGTGGAAGCTCAGGGAGAGGCTCTGGGTCTCATGTGTGAAAAATATGAAGGGATGGCCCGTGACCTCCAAGTGCAGAGCGAATGTGTCTACAGAATGTCAGCATCTCCAAGCCAGCTTCCAAGTTAAGCCACAGCATTGACATCACAGTTCAAATGCAAAGCTAGTCTGTGCAGTGGAGACCGTGATCATAGAGCATGGGGTGGCTGTTATCCTGGAGTGAGGTGAGTTCTACAGCAGCCTGTGGTATTAAGGTGATACAAGGGAGAATTAGAAGGGATGGAAGATTCCGATGAGACAGACAGATAGATAGGTAGATAGAATATAGATAGATAGATAGATAGATAGATAGATAGATAGATAGATAGATAGATGCATAGTTAGACAGATGATGGGTAGGGAAATATTATTTTTGTCCCTTGACAAAAGTCATCAAGTCCTTAGTTTATTGTGTTACTAATGATGGAACTTGGGCCTCATGGTCACTAGACAAGTCCTGTGCCACTAAGCCAATAAATCCTTTAAACACCTTCCAAATTGGGTGTGGTGATAAGGTGGCTTGCCTTAGATACTCTGCATAACCTTAAGCAACTCCCTTCCTTTGGAGGCTCCTCTCCCCTACACACACACACACACACACACACACACACACACACACACACACACACACACAGGAGGCTGAACCCCTGGCTGTGCCTACTTGTTGTCAGCTGTTCCCCTCTCCTGCCACTACCAAAGCATAGAAAAGGTCGTTGGCTAAAGGGGTCGGGGAGAAGGCAATAATGCCCAGAAGGACTTGCTTCTCAAATTCTGCCTGAGACACTTTTAACATAGACTCAGGGCTGAGCCCATCAGATTCCTTCCCATGAGGATGTCTCCTGTTTTCTATGGATGGAAAGCAATATGGAGAGAAGAGGCAGGCCGGGCATGATGAGGACGATGGCAGTCACCTTTTCAACATGGCTCCTGAGGCTGTGTGTCAACATGGACTCAGATACAATCCTATGTGGTCAGGCTCCTCTGTATCTCTCATACTGAAAATGGGATAAAGGAATCAGCCATTATTATTTGCTGGCCCTGGAGGGGGGTGGGGGCAGGAAGACAAGTTCTGCCCTTTATCAGACTGGGCCCTTGTTGCCAGAGATCAGAGGGAACTTGCTCATGCTAAAGGTTGAATTGCATTGGCATCTGCCTGGCTGTGTAGTAACCATGCCCTGCTGGACAAACACACATCATATTTCCTTCCAACACCAAGGGAAAAATATCCAAATCTTGGGGCTTACTACAGAAACAACTCTACATCATTTCCGACAAAAGCCATCCTTGCTAGAGATAAAATGGGTTTACAAGTGGGCCTGTACTGGGGTACTGGGAATGCTCAAGCCCTGGGCTTAGGGGCTTAGTGGTCATGGGGTGTGGTAGTTTGTCAAGAATTGTCCGATTGCACTAATGGCTGATGTACATTATATATTAATAAAAATTCATTATCAAAAAATGAGCCAGAGGTAGGAAAAGATTCATGTGGCTTGGCCACCGTTCAGCAGTCCTGTGGGGCATAGGCTTCCAACAGCCCCAGCTGTAACCATGGAGGAGAGAATGTTTGAGGGTTGGCTGCTGGCATGTATTGGCAGAGCAAACACACGGGCTTCCTCCTACACCATCTCCTCTATGTACACAGGGTGTTAGGCCAGCCTCTGTGAGCTGCACTTCATGGTAACAAAGACAACAATGCCACCATCTCATAGTTGTCAACAGCATGGCAGCACTCGAGTCTTTGGCCCAATATTTACGTAGCCAGAGAAGGCATGTCTACTTTGCAATATTGACTTAGATTCATTACTCTCCAAAAAAAAAAAAATCAAAACAAAACAAAACAAAAAACACCACCAACAAAAAACCCAAACCAGTGCCCAATCCTGCTCATGCACCGTGGTCTTTGGGGACTCCAATCTGAGCTATTTGGCTTCATAGCTGTTGTCTTGTTATCTTGCCTATAGTTGCCAGTGGGTCAGAAACTTACTCATTGTTGCTGAAGTTTGCCTGGAGTCCTCAGTAAGTGCAATTTGCAAAAGAGAACTGGGAAAACTGAAGCATGTATACATTCTTGAAGTTTCCAGGAAATTGCCATCAGTAAGTTCTCCTTCACGACAACCTTCATATATATATATATATATATATATATATATATATGAATAAAGTGTTTCTTTTTCCTAAATGGCAGGCATGCTAGCCTCCAGTTGGGGGTTTTTACATTTTCTCATTGTTTCTGAGTGAGACACTCAACCATTGACAAGTACAACAGACCGCTTTCCACAAACTCTGTTGTCAAGGGAAGTGTCTGTGCCCCTTTGTAAGCTCCAGGGTCCTCAGACCCAGGCGCGACCTGTGACCCCCTCAACATCAGCTGGAGAAAGTGAGGGGCCCAAGCTGCATTAGCTGGACAAATGAGGACCTGGACACACTCACTGTCTTGTGGCTCTGCTTTTGGTGAGGGGCTGACCCCTCGCTGCAGGTGCTGTGTCCCCAAGGCATTTTTGGTCGTCCAGTCAGGTGGCAAGGACATGCTTGCTCTAAGGGTGTTTCTCTTTGCCCTCTTTCATCAAAAGTGCTTTGAGGAGACGCCTTGCCCTGCCCTCTCCCTGCCTCCGGGGGCCCACACAGTCAGTGAGCCCTCCATAACCATTAATTTAGCCAATTTCCTGGGCCACACCATCCCCCAGGGACCCCACTTTGGTGGGCAGCACTGGAACAAGACTCCCTGCTGTTTCCATTCCCTTTTAATTACATACAGACAAGCTTCCTTGGGCTGACTTTGGGAGGCAAGCCCCGGGCCGGCCTGGCTGCCCTCCACCAAACAATGCACACATGTTCCGGAGAATTCCCTCCTCGCCTAATCCGGGCTGGGAAGAAAGGGGCTTTTCTTCTTGTCGTCAAAGGGGATCTTCGATGCTAAGATACCATTTTGTGTCTCAAGTCATGTCACGGGACTTCTGCCTCGGCCTCGCTGCCTGCTCTTTAGAAATGAAGGACACAGTCCTTGATTCACCTCTAGACAAGTGCCCTCCCCTCCACCCCGGCACATAAAAGAAGGCTGGGGAGCAAGGGAGGCGAGGGAAGTGCCCGCTCCCAACTGTTCCTTTCTCATCTTGGCAACCTCGGCGCTCTGGACTGTTTGCCCAAAGGATGAGTAGGGAGGACTGAGCCTCACCTGCTGATCTCAAGGGTCATGAATATTCTTATAATCCCCGAGGAAGAAGGGCCTTTCATTAGAGGCGTCTGTCCAGGAGGCCTTGAGTCTCATCACCTCCTCCACCAGCTCAGCCTCCTCTGCCTTCCCGGTTCTGTTCCGCAGACCGCCCTCCTTACCCGTTCTGCAGGCTGCCACGGGCTGGAGAATCGGGATTTCACCGGGCCGGCTATGCGGGTCATGTTGTAAGCAAATTACAGGAAATGAAAAGGAAGTCGCAGACTTGCAAACTGCTTTGAGACTGGGAGCCGACTTGCTCAGTCCCTCCCTGGGGTTTGTCCCCAGTCACTATCTTCAGTGGTGAACAGCCCTGAGAGAGGGAGATTTTGGAGGTGCAGTGCGAAATCGCGCCAGGGAAAGAGTTAATACCATATATGCAACAAAAAAACTACATGGTTCTATATGAAGGCTTAATTGAAAAATTGGTTTCAGGTGTCCTAGCAGCAGAAGAAAAGAGAACAACCGGTCAGTTGAAGTGTGGAGCAGCATATCTCTCCTAGACGGAAGACTTCCAAAACAAAACAACATCCTCTCACAAAAAACCCAAAAACAACAACAAAACCCCCCACCATATTCTGCATTTAAAGTGTTATTCCTAACATCTCTGCACTAAAAATAAGTCTGTCTGGGTTAGAGCAGCCCGAATCTAGTTTCTCTGCATATCCTCATGAAAAACAAACACAGACTCAGCCCAAGTTTTCTTCAGAATCCATAACTGTAGCCTCTGGGCTGGTGCTACCCATCCTTAGAGGCCATCCTGAACACACAACAGTGTGAGAGTTGTTTTGTTCACTCTTGGGCCAAGTCCTACAAGGCCTGCCTAGCACAGTACCACAGAGCCCAGTAGGGGCCACAGCTGCACAGCAGCCTGACCCAGGCTGGCTCCAGGAAGCAGCCCTCTCAAAGGTCAGGCAGGTCCTTTGCTTGGCCCAATGGAAGAAACATCTTTGGGAAGTCAGTGGCATTCAGTGTAACTGGGTGGACACTACAGGAGGTAGGTAAGATTCCACTAACGTTGCTGGCACCACTCTTGTTTGAAAATAACTATTGATTGGGTCTTGATTTAAACCCACTTAGTATCACAATTCTAGCTAATGCTTTTGAACACTCTTGTGCTAGACACTTGGAGAGTTGCATATCACCTTGCTTTGAGTAAAAAAAAAAAACCTGAGATAGACACACACACACATACGAACACACACAGGCACACACACATGCACACACACGGACATGAACACTATACATGTACACACACAGAGAGTTCTGTTTTTTTTTTAATGAAAAGAGAAAATCAAGATTTTGAGAAGGATTTGGCACTACATCGTGACAAAGTAACTTTCCAGAATTCTAAACTAGTCGGATTTTCTTGCAGGACACACAGTTTCCTCATTACACCCTCTGGGCAGGGGATGGTTCTAGACATCGGGAAGCCTAGTGGTGTGGTTCAGAGACCACTGCTGTAACAAAGCAGCATTGTCACTCTCTTCTGGAATTCATTTTCTGAGCAGATAGTGAATCTCTAAAAATCTTTTATAGTTTTCACACTCTAGTAAACACATTCATTCAGTAATAATTTACTATGGCAGTCACTGTGTTTAGGGAAATCAGGAGTCTGTGGCTATCATAAAATGCAGTCATAAGACACATGTGAGTGGTGAAGCAACTCTTAGAAGCCAGCCCAGGACATGAAAAGCTAACTTAAAATCCTGACCCCGGTTTTCACGATAAAGCTCAACTGAAAAAACACAAGATGTCCTAAATGGAAGTGATGGGTTGAGTCATGGGAACTTGAGCCATTTGAAAAAGCATTCAGCTATGAGGTGATCAAGAAAATCACAGCTTGGGGCTGGAGAGATGGCATAGTGGTTAAGAGCTCTGGTTGTTCTTACAGAGGACCCACGTTCAATTCCCAGCACCCATATGGCAATTCACAACTGTCTATAACTCCACTTCCAGGGTACCCAATGCCCTCATGCAGATATGCATGTATGCAAAAATACCAATGCACATAAATAATAAAAAAGAAAAAGAAAACCACAGCTATATCGTTATAACTACCAATGGTCAGAGTGCCCTGCTGTGGTTAATTGTCCCTGAGGCTGAAGATAACTTGTTCTAGTTATATAAAAAGTAGGGCATGCTGGGGATATAGCTGAGTTGGTGTAGTATTGGTGTAGTACTTATATCCTAGTTACTTTTCTATTGCCATGACAAATACCATGACACTATTTATAAAAGAAAGTATTTAATTTGGGAGCTCATGGTTCCAGAGCGTTAGAGTCTATGACTATTATGGCTGGGAGCATGGCAGCAGGCATGGCACTGGAACAGTAGCTGAGAGCTACATCTGATCCATAAGCATAAGACAGAGAGATAGACACTGGCAATGGCACGGGTTTTTGAAGCCTCAGATCCCACCCCCAGTGACATTACCTCCTCCAACAAGGCCACACCTCCTAATCCTTCCCAAATAGTTCCACTAACTGAGGATCAAGTATTCAGATATTTGAGTGTATGGGGTAATTCCCAAACCACCACAGTTTACCTACCATGCATGAAGCCCTGGGTACCGTTTCTAGAACCCAACAAAACCAGATTTGGTGGAAATACTTGCGATCCCATCATTCAGGAAGTGGTGACAGGAGAATCAGGAAGGCCAGCGGCAAGTTTGAGGCCAGCTTGCGCTACATGATACCCTATTGTTTAGTGTGATAGGCGTGACTGCAGTAGTGGAAGGCAGTAATGAGATTAGCACTGAGGTATCTCTGAGAAATGTAAGTGCTGGACATCATCGTTGACAACATGGCTGGTTTGGGGAATGGATAAAATTTAGGAAGAACACGCAGACTGAAAGCAAGTCAGGGCAGAATTCTCAGTGGTTGAAAAGGGAAGGAAAAGTCAGCAATACAGATAATAGACATTCTTGCAAAAGAGGAGGAAAATCAGTGTTATGTAATGGAGAGCTATCGAGGATTTCAAAGTGGGGCGGCACTCGGGGGTCAAATGAGGCATAGTCTGAAGACAGACACATGAGTGTCATGACACAGAAGCCACCTGAATCTCAAGGGACAGAGCAGTCCTGGAGGAGTTGTTGGATGACCTGAATGTAGCCCATTTTAGGATATTTGCTATGCGTCTTCTAGTACTTGGCATTCATAAAATAAACCCTGATTTTAGGTTAATATATCAAGAGGTATTTTTCATAGGGGGTACAGTTCTATTTTAAACATGGGGTTGTTTGTTTGTTTAATGCTAATCACTGTTATGAGGCTTAGCTACAAGATCAGGTCCTACATAACAAAAGCAATGACTTTTACTTTTAGACATTTTATTTTTTAAATCAGCATACAATATACAGCATGTTTGAACAAAGGTTTCATTTCTGTTGCTGTGACAAATACTGAGACAAAAAGTAACATAAGAGAGGAAGGGTTTATTTGCCTTACAATTCCAGGCTGTAGTCCCTCATTTCAGGGAAGTCAATTGCTTGAGCAGCAACTCAAGCAATTGGTAACATCATATCCACAGTCAAGAGTCAAGAGAGACTATACTCATCCTTGCTATGCTACAACTAGCTTTCTTCTCTAGGGGATGGCACTGCCCATGGTGGACTGGGTCTTCCATTAGTTAACATCAAGACAATACCGCAGTACTCTACAGACATGCTTACAGACCAGTTTGGTCTACTTAATTCTTCCTTAAGACTGTTTTCCCAGGTGATTCTAGGTTGTGTCAAGTTTACAATTAAAACTACAAATGCATGTATGCATGCAATAACACCTGACCAAAAAAAAAAAAAAAAAAAGAAGAGGCCTTGAATTTGAAGGAGAGTAGGAAAGGGTATATGGAAGACTTTGGAGGGAAGCAAATGAAGGGAGAAATGTAATTAAAATACAATCTCAAAACCAAACAACAGAAAACCAGCAACAAATTAGCCACCATGACAGCCCCAACTGATACATGTCCAGCAAGCACAGGTGCTGCACCCAAAGGCCCAGAGCACATCTGGAAGGGGAGTGGAAAGACTGTGAGAGCCAGAGGAGCAGGAAGTCTGCTGTGAGATTTTTGTCTTCTCAAAACGACAGGGAAACTATACCCACAAAGTCTCACCAGCACAGCTGCCTGAACAAGATCTGAGCAATGAGATGATGTCAACAGGCATGCTAACATGGAAGAGGGAACGTTCCATGTGTGAATCTGAGTGTCTCTATGCCACAAATAGCGTGGGAGTGCCCTCTGAGGCTGGAAGAGGGTTTGGATCCCATGGAGCTGGAGTCACAGGTAGTTGGCTGCAATATGTCTGACATGGGTGCTGGAACTCAGGTCCTCTGAAAGAGCAGAAAGTGCTCTTAGCTTCCGAGCCATCTCCCTAGCCTCTGGAGTGTTTTAGTTTTTAAGCAAAAATGTCTTAAAGTCTGTGGGCACAAGTGTACTGCAACGTAGATTTGGATGTCAGAGGGCAATCTTCTCGGAAGCCAGCTCTGTCTGCCATGTGGGTCCTGGGGATTGAACTCAGGCTGGGCTGCACATGTCCTTACCCAGTGAGTCATCTTCCCATCCCTGAAACTTTACTTACCTTGTGAGACTCAGTCTGCTATATGACCAAGTGTGAATCACCAGACTGTGCCATTCACTCATTTAAGGAAAATGGTGTTCCTTGAAAATCTTAGTTCAGTTCGTAAGTCAAACGATTGAATAGGTAAAGACCCTCAAAATTTCCATCATATGTTGCATGCAAAGTGTTTCATTCGACTTCCCCAGTTTTGTCCCACAGCCGGGTTTCCCCTTTGTAAAAGGTGTTCTGGCAGTGGTGGATGCTTCTGGCCAGTGCTGTTGACTGGCTCCCTGCCATGGCTGCAGTGTTGCCGTGTTCCAGTGGTCAGTGCCCCACCATGGCTGCTGCTGGCCCAGTGGGAGAGTAAAGCAAACACTGGCATTACAAATTCATGCTGACCTTGGGGCACTGAAAGGACCTGGAAGACCCTATACCTGATGCTGGGGCACGAGAGAGTTGGTATCTGGGCTGGAGAGATGGCCCAGCAGTTAAGAGCGTTGGCTGTTCTTCCAGAGGTCCCAAGTTCAACTCCCAGCAGTCACATGGAGGCTCACAACCATCTATAATGAGATCTGGTGTCCTCTTCTGGCAGGCATAATAAATAAATCTTAAACAAAAAGAAAGAGAGAGAAATTATTGGCTGGGTAGTGATGCATGCCTTTAATCCCAGCACTTGGGAGACACAGGCAGGCA